TTAATTGCATTGCTATTTATCATTAAGCAACTGGTAAAAGGAAACAACACCTCTAAAGCTTTATTAATTACAGCCAAATCCAGGAAAATCTCCCACACAAAATGAATAAATCATGATAAGATTACATGCCCCAGCATTACCAAATTGCAGTATTCTCTTCTAACATAATCAACAGTGTACCTAACAAAATCAGAAAGTATAAATTCTAAAATTCTTTAATCCTTTAAAAAACAACTTAAAACTACCTTGATCCTTCCTTAAATGCTCCCAAGTTTCACATTACAATTAATATTTTGCTGCACTTCCTAGATCTGTTGTTCTTGCTTTATTGTTTTTAAGCCTGAATATTTGTTGGTTACTGAAGCAAAGTTAACCAAGAACTTTTTGTTTCAGGTTTAAAGTCCGAGGGCCTCTACAGAGTCTCAGGCTTCACTGAGCACATTGAAGATGTGAAAATGGCCTTTGATCGAGGTATACTATTTTTTAATCTTGTACAATTTTAATCTAAGGTTTCAGTTCTAGGACTTCTCAGTTCTTCTTGTGTTCATATAGGTACTGTGGTAATGAAACTGGCATATCAGCAGAAGTACAGAAAGCAACTTGTCTTTTCTGAGTTCTTAAATTAAGCTGCAGTGTATCTGTAGTGATAAGAAGAAATCATATTTCATAGTTGGAAGGAATAGTTAAACAGTAAGTAATGGCACGCAGAAGGCTAAGTGCTCGGGGGACTGGATGATTGCTTAACCAAGCAGCACAGCCTAGGCTCCTAGTTCAAGTACAAGCCTAGATAGTACCAGGGAAAAGCTTAGTCCTATCTTTAGTAGGCTCAGTGCTTTACAATACCATAATCTATTTATGAGTTTAAGAACCAGGAACTCCAACTGGGAAGTCATTTTGCATGTAGCCTTGTAGAAAGCACCACACCACTGTGCACGTGATTGCATCTGCACAACAGATGAGAGGAGCACTGGGGAGATTGGTTGTACAGCATATTGAAAAAACAATAATTAATTAAAACACTGCCTGTTAATCATGATTACCATCCTAGTAGCCCTTCTGATTTGATTTAGCTGATTACCTTGGTTCTGGCTGTGCACACAGTCTTTGCGCACAGGACTAATTTTAAGTATATATGTTAGTGGGTGCAGAGTAGGGCCTTCATCAACAGAAAACACATTTTCAAGTACATTTAAGAAGTTACATAGATATTCTTCTCCTTTCCCATAAATAGTGTTTTCCTTCCTGTTTGATTTTTTTAGGTATTACCTCTGTCGTGTTAGGGAATAGGGTCAGACACAGCCCAGTGATCACAAGTCCATGGGGACAAGGCAGGTCCAGGTCAAGCCAGGAAGTCAGCCAGTGGGTCGGGGTACTGGCCAGAAGGGTGCATGGCCAGGCACAGGCATGGCCATGACCCAGCTGGAGACCACTACAGTGTCGCTCAGGCAGGAACTGGGGACTCGGGGGCCCCATGGGCAGGAGCTTTGGGGGCTCCAGGGGAGGCTGGGCAGGGCCAGCAAGGTCTATGGTGGCACGTCTTACGCTTACTGTGCCTGAATACTTTTTTGTTAGGACACAGTTTGTCACGCAGACGTCACTGGCAAAGAAAGTCCAACTAGGAATTGCCAAAGTGACTGTTTTCTTGCTATACCGAAATATCCTTTTAAAAATAATACATCTTTTAAAATGTGTTGGATGCTGCAGTTGTGAACACATGCATGTACACGCATAGGTCAGCTGTGATTTGGGTGAAAGAGATGCACAGTGATATGACTGTAGTCACAGGAAGATACACGTTGCAGGTGTGCCACATGAAGCAGTGCTACTGAGAGGGTCACAGTCCCCATAGGTCCCGCTCTGCTCCCTGCAGGTAGATCTGGCCTGGCAAACCCTTTTGTTTTGTGTGTTAATTCTCCTCTGAGTCTACCAATCTGAATGAAACCCAGAAGGAGAAGCACAAGTTGAAGAGGGAAGAGTTTGCACAAAGCAGATGGAAATTTATGTCTGAGCATGACTTGAATACTGCTGCAGCTGTAGTTCCTTTGCAAATGCTTCAAACTGTTGGAGCCGGTTCAGTCTTACAGAGGGCGTGTCTTTTAGTATTGCCTATACTCATGGCATAATCTGTAGCAATACACGCTTGAATTAGACCCACAGCAAGGAAGAAAGTGGGATTTACTGACAAAGAAGGCAGCAACTAGAAACAGGAAGAGGCAGGTCACTAGCAGTATCAGATTTCCAAAGGAAAAAAAGCATGGATAAACATAGAAGCGGAGAAAGCAAGAACTGAGTTTGTATACACAGGCTGCGGGGAAAACCATTGGGCATAAATTGATAAAAAGCTGTGTCTTCATCTTCTTTTAACAATCTCATGAGGGAAAAGGGATAAGAAAGGAAGGAGAGGGTGTTGCCATGAATAATGCTAAAAGCAGCGGAACAGTGAACAAAACCTTGTTATGAGAACTGCATGACTAGAGTATTGCTGAGACCAGAAGCTGAGAACTTCACTTTACAGTTTGAAAATGTTCTCTCCCTGAACTGAGATGGAAAAGCAGAAGTTGGGGGATTGTTGCAGGAAGGGATTTAAAGAAACTAAAATAGATTTTTTTTGTTCTGACTTGTGGGCTGTGCAGCTAGAAGGTGGTTGTCAGCTGACAGAAGGTTGAATTGGCAAGATGCTTCCAACCTGACAGCTCAGGGCTTGCTTCCCTGTCAGATCCAGGTTTATAGAGACAGGGACCCCACCCTCTCTTCTGCATCCCAGCCCCACAGGTAGGAACATCGCTTTTCTGCTGCCCAGTTTACCCGTCCTTAGCCCTAGAAGACAGAGCAGCAGGGATTGGACTAGCCCAAGGATGTGGAATATCCCAGATCTCTGTCCCAGGTGACAGAGCTGGGAGAGAAGGGAGCTGAGAGCCAGGTGGCAGGTTTCACCTCCAGCAATGCCTGGAAGGTTTTTGTTCAAATTTCATTTTCTGCCCAGAAAGTGAAGTTTGTGTGAGTTTTACAGAACTGTTGTTTCCACATTCACTATAGGAAAGTAACATATTTTTTGCAAAAGTTAAAAAAAAAAAAAAAAAAAAAAAAAAGGAAAATTTGTGTCTGGAATGTAAAATGGAAAATTCCCGATCAGTTCTGGTTCATAGATAGGTGTTGCAGCAGAAGCAGCCATATCTGTGGCCACGTCACTATCTCAGACATCTCTGGAGCACGCTGTGCATAGCAGAAGGTAAATGTGTTTTAAAAGAGCTTGGGATAGTTAGCTGTCAAAGGAGAAAGTGAGAGCAGGGGTATGAACCAGAGAAGAGAACTCTTTAATCTAATGGATAGTCCTGGCACAATACTAGAGGATATCCACTGGCTAGGAATAAATTTAGTTTGACAATTTAAAGACCATTTTTAGCCACCTGAAAGCAAGGCTCTGAAACAACCTTCTAATCAGAGCAGGGATAAAAACATTAACTAGCTTTAAAATGGAAGTTGAGGGGTTTATGAGAAGGGTTATATGGTGTGGTGCCTGCAGTGGCAGAGCACTGCCCTGTGGCATTACAGAGGTCCCTCCCTGCCCATCATTTCCGAGTCAGTCCCCAGGCTCCTGGCTAGAATGGCAGTACACTTTTGCATCTCTGGAAATACAGCTTTTAATAAATGGGTCTGAAAATAAAGTCCTCCCATTTAATGCACAGGACGCATCCTTCAGATGATGCCATCAAGCTTTCTGGTTTCCCAAGCTCTTTGTCAGGTCACAGGAGCCAGAACACAGTATGATACGGGGATGAGGCACAGGGGCCGTAGGGTACCTCTCCTGCTGATTTCATGTGCAGCTGAAGGGGCACAGTGAAGAGAAGCCAGCCTCCCCTCTGACTAGTTCTGCTTTGCCAAAGGGACGCTCACTTGTTGCTTCCAAAGAATTACAGCAGAAGAGCAAAGGCAGGTTTGAAAGTTAACATCTCGGGAAGAGCATGGCATCCCACATAATATTATTTGGGCCCAATGAAGCTGTGATAGTTGGTTTTAAAACAGGGAGAAGTTAGTCCTCATCGGATTTAAACTAAGACTCCCCTCCAAAGCCAAAGCAGTGTAAATACCCCTACTGTAAATTAGCGTTAGGCTCTCTGAGGCACTGACAATGTTCCATTTTAGTGATTTTTGTAATGAGAAGGAGGGGAATAATGTGGATTTATTTAATCTGGTGAATGTTGGTGCCGTAGAACGACAGTTGCTCTCTGTCAGCGTTGTTGAGCTGTGGCCTTGTGGCATCCAGAAAACCCCCATTGTGTGCTCTATCCACAGAGCTGCCATTGTCACCAGTGCATTCTGTCCCCCCACTTGTTTGTATGACTGGCTGGTACAATACACTTGCTAAAAATATTATGCTGTTAAATATTACATGAGTACTTAGAGGCATCCTAACTCATACTCACTCTTTTGCCAGTGTAGCTGAAAAACCTGTCAAATGCCAAATCCAAGAAAAACCACAAAGAAGCACGTTAGTATGGCAAAGGTTGTGCAATAAAAACAAAGCATTAAGGAAAAAGGAACTTAAGTAGAAATGTAGTTCAGTATTCAGAGGGCATAGCTGAGGCTTTAAGAATGTAATACTTACTCCATTTCGTTCTCTAATACTATTGATACATGTCTATGGCATCGTAAGTCAGCTGAAACCTTTAAGGAGCAGAATAAAGACTTTCTTTGTCTTGAGATATTCAAACTTCAACATAACGCAACAAAATATGTTGAGAGTTGAAGTACCAAGGAAAGAGAAATGATGGGATTTGGATAGGATTAGGTTTGTAAAGCTGAAATGAACTATATGTTTGCAATCCAAAATTTAAAAAAAGATTGTATTAACATATGGCCACTGCAATGATACTAAAAATACTAATTACTATCTGCGGAAAGTTACTGTATTGAAGAGTGAAAAAAATGATTGTGGTAATGCAGAAGGTACCATATACAATAGATGTAGTTCATACAGTATGCTGCTGCAGAGGATCCTCTGTGAAATATGTGTCATGACTTTACCAGCAATGAGTTCACTTTTCTTTCTCAGTGCTTTGAATTTTAAGTGTGTTTAAATAAAAATACAAATCCAGGAATTTGGTGAGGATAAGAATAAGTGCATCCTGCCAAGGGCCTTCAATTGCTGAAACTGAAAGGGAGGGGAAAAAAAAAAAAAGACAATCCAAAATCTACCAAAGGAAAAAAAAAGTCCACCTTCCCCTACATATCCACTGCAGAAATGTGTAGGTATATTATAACAGATATATTGTTGCACTCACTTTAAAATAATGTTCAGTGCATTTCCAATGGGTGTACCTTTGTCTCTGAAGTGAAGAGAAAAATCTTTGACTTGGGAATTAATGCATTTTTCCTACAGTAAGCAAATACTTATATAATACAAATGCAAATAAGAGGTATGTTTGCAGTACATTGTAGGTTGAAGTACCTCTAGCTGAAGTGCCCCTTTAAGGAAGCTTGCTGGGCTGCTTTGTAAAAGTACTAAATAAATAACACTTCCATTTAGTGTACTGGTGACCTGGATAATAGATGCAACCTTCTGCTTTGCTATATCTGTTCTGATGCAGCTGCTGGCTCCTTGGAGGTATCTGTTTTCAGTGGAGCATTTTGAATGCTCAGCGTCCATCAATTAAATAGAGCTCTCCGCACAAAGCTTTACAAGACTAATGCTACCGTGCCTGGAACGTGTGGATTAAACAAAAGATTGGGGCAATGTAAACATCCTCCTAGGGCTTATTGATGCTGTATTAAATTAAATGCTGATGGATGTATTCGGACTGCGCAGCTGCATCAAGAAAGGCTGCTTGTTTTAAACACTTAAGCATATAATCTCCTCTTGATGAGAACATGTAGTGCTATTAGTCTTAATGAGAATTATGTGCATACATTGGACAGCACGTATCCCGTCAAGATTAATGCTATAGGTTTGTATAAAATGTCTACAATCAATATAAACTCTTTTACTCTGCTGTGTAAGCCTTTATCACCATCTTAGATGCCGCATATCAAGCACACCCACTCATCTGTCTGTATCAGGGCACGTCTACAAGCACTAGTTATTGCGAGACAAGTAAGGCGATGGCTTTACAGCATGTCAGCACCTCAGTGGTAACAGCCCAAGCTTGTGCTTGCACCTCCTGGCAGATACAAACAAACTCCTCTCCGTTGTTCAAGCAGGCATAACCTCACATCGCCCCACTCACCCTATTAGTCCTGATCTTCACCACCTCCTGCAAGGGAAGCGCCATTATCCTCACTTGAAAGGTGGGGAATAAGGATAACGGGGTATAACTGATCTCAAAGAAGCCTGAGGTAAAGCTGGGGATTAAATCTAGGGGCCTCAGCCCCTGTTTGACCAGTGTCCTACCCCATCTTTCTACTAGAAGACTGCCAAGGCCAGGCCCCAGGAGGGGAGGACAGCAGAATTTCTTGGTCCAGAGAAAAATGTGGGTATAAGGGTACTAGGTAGTACAGAACAGATGTAGTCATTTGAACTTGAAAAATAATAGTGATCCAGCCTGGCTGTTGGTTCTTGTAATTTCACTTGTTGCAAGCCATGCGCTGGTCAAGGGCTTAACAGCAACACTTGCAAATGCTAAGCTCATGTGATTAAAAGTGCTCCGTAATGGAGTTCTGACTAACTGTGTTACAATATGTGGCAAACAAAATGTATGTCATTTCAGTTGCATAATTCATCTGTTTAGCTGTTCAGCCATTACAAGTATCCATATTCATTTAACAAATTGCGATGCACATTGCAGAATAAATTGTATAGCTAAATGCCATAGCATGTCTATTTAAATTCAAATCTTTGCTATAAATAAATAAGTCAAATATGAAGACATTAGAGGACATCCAGAAAATAAGGTGGCTTTCTTCCTAGCTAATCAGTATAGATAGACTGGTGCAGGACTTAAAAGAGTTGGATGTTTACTCTGATTTTTCCTACTGGTCTCCTGAGGGTCATTGGAAATTTATGTTATTACTCTGTGCTTCTGTTTCCCCAAGTGAAAATGAAAAGAATGGTTCATACTCCTGTGCATTGATCTGTGGATACAAAATACAACATCAGAACAAGTTATTAATAGCTTGTTTTCAGCAAATAAATGGGCCAAATTCATTATTATTATATATTATTATCATGATTTTTCATCCAACATTAAAACATTATATGTGAGATGGTACACTGCAGATATTGTTGATGTAATCACCAGCCTCTCCAGAAGATGTAAGCAAATAAATTGTTTACTAGAAGATAAAGAAACTACCATTCCTCATTCATATACTGTAAATTTGGAAGCAATATATTCTCATTTAAGCCTTCCAAATGCTTTCACGTTGTTTTTTCTTGTCAGGTTGGACACAATAAATCTGAATTAGAAGCCTAGCCTTGCTTCATTCAAATTTAGCCTGGTTTCAAAAAGATTTCTTCCTCCTCTTCTAGATGGTGACAAGGCTGATATTTCTGCCAGTATTTATCCAGACATAAACATCATTACCGGAGCACTGAAGCTATACTTCAGAGACCTACCGATTCCTGTGATCACCTACGACACCTATTCCAAGTTCATAGAGGCAGCAAGTAAGTATTGCATAGTAATTTGTACCAACCTTTAATTACATTTCCCATCCATAAAGCAGTCCATGTTAAAGAAAAAGAAAAGACAGACAACAAATTGGAAGCAAGGGTGGTGTTCTGTTCATTACTTCTCTGCCACATCCTTCTTTCACATGAAACTTTTGCCTGAATGTTATTGCAGACGGGACAGCATGCAGGTACACCATCCCAGGGCTGGTGTCACGGCCGCAGACGCATGCAAGACTGGGTGATCCGTGACGGGTCAAGGATGAGTGAACAGTGTGAGCCTTGAGGGTGCTTCCCATTTCCCCACCATTTTCCCTATATCCTCTATCGTGGCCTCCTTTGGCAACAAATCCGCACCGCTGACAAGCGCGTCCCCTCCTTCAGTCGGTGAGGGATCAGAGCAATGAGGCACGCCACAAACCACACCTGCCCCACAGTTCAGGCGCATCCACTGGTCATTAGGTCCTACGGTATCGAACCCATGTCCAGACAGGAGCCCTGTGCAGGTACCCCCCGCCCAGAGCCAGCAGGTCATGGGTGCATGCTACCAGAGAGAGGAGAGGAGAGGACAGCAGCATTCATTGCCATAATGTTGGCAGAGAGAGCTGAGATTTGCCTCAGATTCTGCTCTCTGGGGCACAGCCTTCCATGTAATGATAGTTACTCAGGAAAACCCACCAGGTGGATTGTATCAAAATCAGATTATTAGCATAAAATGTCCAAGACCTGAAGTGTCTAAGAAGTAGCATGCTTTCTTCTTTAAAAAGTAGCCTTAGTAATTTTGAAATGGCACCCAGTGTATGGATAAGCAGCAGGAAGAGTCTGTGCAACTGTGCTGCCTTCCCTTCCCCTCTGGCTTACCCCACCACGCACTCCCCATGCAATCCCAGATACCTCTCCCCTGCGCTCTCCTCTTCCTCCCTGGCAGAGAAATTATTCTTGCCCATCACTAGTCCTATGAAGAACATGCCCAGAGGAAGCATTTCCTATCACATCGATACACCAATCTCTTAAAAGCAGGACATAAAGATTCTTAATCTTCTAAAATTTCAAGCTCCTGGTGCCATTTGTATCAAAAGTCATGCAGCAAATATAACTCTGGCTCAGTTCACAGCTTAGGAATCCATACTTTTCATGTAAAATACATGTAAATCCTGCTCAGACTTTTGGAGAGATTGCCAAATGAGCATTGATGCTCTCTGATCACTGATACCTACCTATTTAAAGACGTTCGGAAATCTTCGTTTATGTAATTCCATGTCACTTCAATCTCTAGCTAAACTTATATATTCAAGTGCAGTCTCTTAAAGGATATATCCACCCTCCCATCTGGTGTTGAAGGCTAATGGAAGTAATCTTATGTAAGATTTTAAAGAGTCAGTTCCAGGCAGATTATTAGGAAGCACTTAATGAAGCTCGTACTATGTACCTATACGGGCCTGTAGACAGAGCTACAGACCATGAGACAACTGTTGGGTAGTCCTTGTTGCTGATTTCTTTGTAAAGCCTTTTTTTTTTTTTTTGAGGATACAGAAGTTGCTGATAAGCTCCATGTTTATGAGTTTAATATTTATCCGTCCAAGCACAGTCAATGGCTTGTAAATGACTTCATAATAATAACTTAGCTTCCTGAATTATTGGTGTTTACAAGTGGAATGTCCTATTAACATTAATCCTGTTTGGTGTTTTTACAGAAATCTCCAATCCTGATGAACGACTAGAAGCAATACATGAAGTGTTGATGTTACTCCCTGCTGCTCACTACGAGACGCTTAGATACCTAATGATTCATCTCAAAAAGTGGGTTAATTGGCATGTAGGATAATTCTTGAAGAGCATAACAATTTTCTGCTTTGAAAGATATTACTGAAAGTACCAATAAAGCTTCCATTAGGGCACTGCCACTAAAACAATAATGTTACAAATAAACAGGCAAGCTGTGTTTGCATAAAGCATATAAGCTATGCACATATATAGCACAGATCCTATTGCTGGCAGATCACTGCAAGCCTTTGAAGAGTTAATTGAGATTCGCCATGTTTCTCTGAGGCAGATAATATCTGAAAAATACCAGAATGGTAGGTACTTTAGAAATGTCCTAGATGTGCTGCAGCAAGTCACTTGATCATGCTTTGCTTCTGCCTCCCCTTACCTCCTGATTTGTCTTGCTGAACGATAACCCTAAAAGGAAAGAGCTGTCTCTTACGAGTTGTTTGCTCGCATCACAGTTAAGCCAAGAATCAAGCGGGGCCTATTTTTATACAACTAGTAAAAGCAATACAGGCTCTTACCAGTTATTTCCTATCTCTTTTGGTTTCAAACACACTCTGCCTCATTTGCTTTCCAAAGCTTCTTTAGTCATAAAACATACAAAATTTTCAAAAGTGCCTAAATTTCATTTTTGATATCTTTGTAGTTGTCCCACTACTTGCAGCATGGTTGCAAATTTGGAGTATTTTCTGGGTTTGATCTGCTCTATTCTGCAATATTAATGCCAACGTGGAAGACCTCAACTCACGTAAAATTGCATCAGAGAGCTTGTGTGAAGTGCAGTTCACGCTCAATCAGGTTCTCATTATGCAGAGACCCTTCCTCATTTTGAATCAGCTCCGGTCATTACAACTGAGTAATTTTACCTTTCAATGAGACATTACCTGGGTATACCGGAGCTTCTTTGGACTCTGCAGAAATGAGATGTGCAAACACCCACCCTTGTCAGCACACATGCATGGGCATCTCAGGATGAGCCATGTTGGCTTTTAAGAAGGTCCATGGAGTCTGTAGACAAGCAACCTGTATACAGAACCAGTACTTTCATGTCCCGGCAGCAAATTTTTGATAGCCAAGTATTGACTTGCCTTTCTTCTTTTTCATGAACTGCAGTACAGGCTTTGGTTCAGCTGTTGAGCTGAACTACTGATGAGACAAAAATAGTCCAAACAGCTGGTTAAGCTTTCTCTCTCAAATACCTGCAGGTCACAAAATGAATTTCCTCTCATTTCCCATATCATAGCTTTCAGTGTCTGCATGGAAATCAAGTGCATGTCAGTTCCTATGGAGAATCTGTCGGAAAGAGATGAACGCGAAAGAGGGAAGGATCCTTTAGGTTCAAACTCTGCTGCCCTGTAGATTAAACATAGAGTTCCAATTCCAGGCTGTTGTGGTTTAACCCCGCTTGGCAACTAAGCACCGTGCAGCTGCTCGCTCACCCTCCCCGCCCCAGTGGGATGGGGGAGAGAATTGGGAAAAAAAGTAAAACCTGTGGGTTGAGATAAAGGTGATTTAATAGGACAGCAGAGGAAAAGAAAGTAATAATAATAATAACAATGATAAAAGAATATATAAAACAAGTGATGCACAATGCAATTGCTCACCACCTGCTGACCAATGCCCAGCCAGTCCCTGAGCAGCGATCGCTGCCCCCCGGCCAACACCACCCCCCACCTATAACTTGATGTCATATGGTATGGAATAGCCCTTTGGCCAGTTTGGGTCAACTGTTCTGGCTGTGCCTCCTCCCAGCTTCTTGTGCACCTGGCAGAGCACGGGAAGCTGAAAAGTCCTCGACTGGCATAAGCAGTACTTAGCAACAACTAAAACATCAGTGTGTTATCAACATTATTCTCCTACTAAATCTAAAATAGCACTATACCAGCTACTAGGAAGAAAATTAACTGTATCCCAGCTGAAACCAGGACACAGCCGCATAGGGCTCTTCTTGCACGGAGAAAACATGCACTGGTGTCAGGGCGTTGGTTTATGCATAGACTGCAAGATCACTACAGGATCACAGCCTCTACACCAGCGCTGTTTCGCGACAGAAAAGAAACGGCACTGAGTTGCTGTTTAAAGCACTTCATATTCCTCTATCAAATGGAAGGGACACTAAATTGAGCTCAATCAAAGTTGAGTAAGTTTTGTATTGCTTTTGAAAAATTAGAGCTACCTTCCCTGAAACTGTTTATTGTCTTTATTGTCTTTCTTCCTCCTCCATTGAAAGAATAACCTAGTGTAGTCAGGAAAATCCAGAAGAGGACAATATCAGCAATGAAAAATGAGCTTGTCAGTCAATTAATTAATTGTTTTCTTCAGTCAAAGGGAACATTCTTTCCGATAACTTTTTGCTCAGCATTGGAGGAAGTAAAATAGCATGAGCAGTCCCCCCTGTGGCGAAATACATACAACTCCATGCATGCTGACGTTGCAGTGAAGCTGTGCCGCTGCATCTTCTCTGTGTTCGCCCCAGGCCATGCAAGAAGCCCCACAGGCCCGCGCAGAGGTGCTAGTAAGATGCACGTGGCATTGCATAGCTCTTCAACATCTCTGCTGCATACAGCCACAGATGGAAAGCAGAGTGTTACACGTACACTTGCACAGAGGTATTTTCCAGCAAGCCTAAGGGATGACTTCTCTGCATCCTTGGCAGCCTGTGTTTGCTCCAGCCACATGTAGCCTACCTTTTTTTGTATTTACATGATATGACCTGCATCAGGGAACAAAACAGCCCAGGCTCCTTCCTAGAAGTATCTCTGTTGAGGATAGATGCCATTTGTAGCAGTCTGACTTTCGCAAGCCAGCTCTCTGGACTGCTCCAGGATTCGGCACGCTCCCGAAGTGTAACGAGTAATCAGAGTCACTCAGCTGTTGGCTGGCCTGAGGCAGCCAGCAAGGCAGAAATGTGTGAACGTGTGGCTTCCTGCAGGCTGGAAGCATGGGTGTTGCTGGTAATCAAAAGAAAATCTGGGTTCATATTCGGGAAGCATATCTGCACCTCGAGTGTGACGCACACCAAGTACAACACGCCAGAGAACTGTAGTTACTGTAGAGTAGAGGACTGCTCCATACATTATCATTTAAATCATTATTATGCTTTTCAAAAAAGCAATTGCCAGTAATTCTTATACCCGAACGAACAGCTACATGGAAAAATCAGTTAAGAGTCACAGGAGGGGTGTTTAAAGGCACTAGAAACCACAGCCCCACTGTAGTTGCATTCTACGTGCTGTGGAAGCAGATACTATATTGAGGGAAAGTAAAAATGGTTACTGAAAAATGTCATTATCTACCAATGCTTGATGTGAAGCAGGACTACATATTAAGATGCATATAGTCTTTTCTTCTGGGAAGTAAACAACTACTTACTTTTTTTTTTTCCTCTCTCTTTTTATTTTAGGGTTACCTTGCATGAAAAGGAGAATTTTATGAATGCTGAAAACCTGGGAATAGTGTTTGGGCCTACTTTAATGAGACCTCCAGAGGACAGTACCCTTGCTACACTGAATGACATGCGGTACCAGAAGTTAATTGTGCAGATTTTAATAGAAAACGAAGATGTTCTCTTTTAGACAAAGAGAGGTGTATCTTCAAAGCCACTTGTTTTAAAATAGTTAGTTTGAAGGAAAAACAACATTTCTTTAAATTTTTTTAAACATAAAGGAAAAGTTCCTTGACTGCACTTCAATTTCTGCAAAGTTGCAGACGGATGCCAAAATGTTTAGGGAACGCCTATGTCTCATAGACATATGCCTCTTTGTAGAAGGGAAAAAAAAGGTCAGAAAAAATCCTCTTACCTTGTATCTTTTGCCTTGCCTCAGATGTATATTTGTTTTGAGAAGCTGCAAACAGTTTTATTGTTAACTTATTAAGAAACACAACATATTTTAATATGGCTAGAGAAGCAAAAAGGTACTTAATCAGTGTTTCTTGTATACGCCTATACATTTCCCTCTCCATGAGACATAATTATATATGTCAATTGTGAAACAGAACCTATATTATAAAGATATTTTTGCTTTACCTAGCTGAAAGAATGGCATTTTATTTTAGCAAACTATAAATCAATGCGGTGCATTGATTATTTTCCACGCAATTCTTTCCTGCATTTTTGCTATGATATATTGAAAACAATTACCACTAATGCAGTATTATCCTGACATACCTCTTTCATTGCAAATGTTTTAAAGGAGAATTCTTTTCTTGTGTGTATTCCAGCTTTCCTTAGGTTTCTTTGCATTTAGGCACTAGCATCCTAAGATTGTACACTTTTAGCCATTTGATATTTCCCAAAACATATAGTATTTTCTCTTCTTTTCTTTTTCTACTCCCATGTAAAATATGGTATTGAGAATTTTTCAAAAGTCCTGGCGGTAGTATCAGTTTCATATGCCAGGTTTTTCTTGGATTACAGTAATATGTAAGTTAAGTGATGCTGGGACACTGGATATTTTCTGGCCTTGTTGAAAAGTTAGCACCTTTTTGGGTTAATTATGAAGGATTTGGTTTTTCTGTAAAAATCGAGTTATGTTTTGTCATGTTTCTGTATTTATAAACGTACAGTAAATCTGCTAAAAATGTAGGTATTTATCTTGAATGTGTTTCCTGATGGTTTGTTTTTAAAAAAAAAAAGAAAGAAAGAATGTGTAGGAAATGTGGGAGTTGGTAAATTTAATTATTACCAAATTTTAATATTTTTCTCCCCTCACAAACATTGACCTACAGAGTTCATAGTCTAACTGCAACTTATTCCTAATGTTAAAACTGTTTCTCAGCATGAGATGTTTCTGCAAGTATAGAAAATCAACATACTTTACTACCAAACTCAATTTTCAATACAAAAAAAAAAAAATTGTAATAATCCTTCATCTTGATCATTTGTATCATATGCTTGGTAACTCAGTGATGCAGTTTCCTGAATTATTTCAGGGAGCACATGTTTCTATTCAAATTGAAAAATATGTGTAACTATGATAACGAAGGGAGGTGGAGGGTATGACTGTAAACTTGTCGTCTTCTAGAGAAATAAGTAAGGGCTAGATAGATTAACCCAGATTGCAGATCAAATGCTAAATAGTCTGAGTTCCCAATACTTCCATAGATCCTCCTGCCTTGTACAGGACTATTTGTTGTAGGTTATGTACTACTTAATACTGTCATAAAAATGATCTGGAAATGGTTTTATTTTGTGAAGTGAAATATGCTTTGTAATTTATGATAGTGTAAATGGAAGGAAAAATCCCATTAAATGTGTTAAAGAGTTCTGGTGTCTGCCATTCTGACCACATGGCAAGCTGCCAAATGAAAATCAATTGCTAATTACCATCCTGACATTGCTGGAAACTTTCCTACTTGGAAAACTTAGAACAGTTTTACTGAATGTCAGCAGTTTCAGATTGGTACTTGGGCGCCCATAGTACCACAGCCAAGCCTATGCACACTTTACTTTCTGCGACCATCCTGAATCACCTCTGCGTAAAACTTCAAGCAAGCAACAAATCACAGTATCAATCCAATCAACTGCCAAGAATCAATGCCATCAGAGCACTTTTCCACTCCCTTCAATGCAGACATTTGACTAACAATGATTTTCTTTATTTTTTCTGGTCAGTTCAGTAATGAGCTTTTTTTTTAAGGCAGGAACGGTATTTTAGTACGATTTTTTATTTTTGCAGGAAGACAAACAGTCCATTCTAATTCTGTGTCTTCTTTTCCCTATACCATGAGCAAACTGGTAGCTTTGACATGTCTCGCAGTCTGGGGTCTTCAACGCATGCCCCGTCCTAAGGATTCGATGACAGTACAAAGCAGTGTGTTTAGAAATACCCATGCATAGTGTCTTTGGAGGGCAGAAGTTTCTAATCTGCTGAACGGAGGGAAGAGTATGATTCCGCATCTTAAAACACAAATATCTAATGAATTGTCCATGTTTGTCTCGGCTAACTGATGGCCAGTGTCCTCAGGGGCGTGCTGAGTGTGGAGGTGAAAGGACCCTGTCCCCTCCATGCTTCCTTAGTGCTGCTCACACATCATCTCTTATGTCAGACTTACTGTGGCCATCACTGCTGCACCTGGGGCTGAGCAGCAACTCTGAGATCCGATCGCCTCTGTTCCAAATTCACCATTCAAGGAAATCAACAGCCAGCAGACTTTTCTCTGCAAAACTGATTGCTAAAGCAGAAGAAAAAACACGTAGCTCTGTAATGCAAGCCTATACTCCAGTACACAGAAAAAATGTGTCTGACTGGTTCTTCCCTTTGCTTCAAAGCATTCAACAGAGTGTGATGACGTATCTCACATGAGGCACTCCTAGAGGGTAGTAAGAGTCATTTGAAAGATGCTCCAGGAGTCTGTGTTTGAGCTGATGTAACTTCCCTGCTAGCTCCTTTTATCTCAAGTGGAATGCAGCTCTGCTCCTTGGAAGCAGGTGAGATACTTGTGTTTGGCTGCACTGGAGCCTGTGTGCAACTGGACGTTCGGCAGGAACCTTGTTCCCCTCCAGCTACTGGAGAAGGCCTTTGGTGGAGTGCTGCAGGTGAGACAGCAGTCCCCTACTGCTGGCATCCACCCGTGCTTCCCATCTGCCATTCAGCTAGCCCCATCTTCTGGTATGATGGGTGCAACTCTGTACCCCCTTACAGCTCGTCCTTGGAGCTACCGGGGTGAGACGACTTGCCTCCCATAAAGCAGAAGTGTCTTAGCCACGATGAGTAAAACATGACATGAAGTTAATGGTTTGTAAGGTAGTAACTTTTCCAAAGTGTGGTGGAACAGTTGAAATTTCATCTTTATACCTCTGTCTTTGCGAGACTCATTGCCATCAGGTTTAAATATTTTGAGCCTGCCAGGGCAACTGAGCGAAGGAATTGTTTCCTGAGAATGTCGCACTGGAGACGAGGCAGCATGTGCTGTGTCTGACTCCAAAGCACACGTGTACTGAAAAGGCAGCTGGCAGGCAAGATCAAACAGGGAACTGCTGAAGGGTTTCCTCAACTGAGACACCGATCTGGGGCTCCTCTACCCAGAGACCAGTTGTTGTGAAACTTAATTTTATCTTTCTCCCACTGTCAAATACCATTGGAATGGGACAAAGGATGTAGAAATTACTGGGAAGGAGAAGAATTTGCAAAAAAAAAGAGAAACAAAGAGCGTAAGTGCAGATACTGTGTCCAAAGAAAAGCTTTTTAAAATTAAGTTACAAAGGAGACACAGATTTGCTCTCAATTCGGCGAGCTGATGTCAGATTAAGCTACAGAATGGGTCTAACAGAGCACAAAACTGGGTGAATTGGTACCACATTCATTTTATTTCTACGCAAGAGGTAAGACTACACTTTCCTATACACTTAACAGTCTCAAAGCTCACACATTGAGCTTAATGAAGGAGACAGAGCTGCAGGGGCACTTGGCCTGAGACTCTGGGAAGGAATATAGCAAGTTTGGGATCTCTCCTGAAACAAGGTGCTTGAAAGACCTGAGCTGTGCATTACTGTCAAATTTAGGATACAGGAGGGAGGAGGGATTGCAGGTGTAGTATTGGGCAAAATTCTGGTCTTGGTAAGGTATCGGAGACGTGCCAGGAGTGCCTGGGGTAATACAGAGCTGGGCTGAAGGAAGGCTTAAAGTCATTGCAAGGAGGTGAAAGTGAAGGTAGGTACTGACAGCGGCTTGCAGAGCACACGGAGCAACTGTGTCTTCTCTTTTTTGATAAGCTCAAACACTGCACAGTGCACACCTGTACAAATGAGACACTGCGAGATGATTAACTATGTTTGCACAGGGCCCCGCCTGGACTCACATGTCCGGAGGGAGAGCGTTTTCCTAACGCAGCTAGGCTCTCTGCTGCTCTGTCCCCCTCCCTCCCACCTGGAGATGAAGACAGCCGACCGCCTCTTCTGCTGTACCTTCAGCTGCTGCCAGTATCGCTTCCCCCCCAACACAGTACAGACAGGGCAAAGGCAGCCTGCTCCCTTGATCCTGCTAATGGCTGGGTAGGTACTGCCCTGCTGTCTGAGAAGGGGCTGGAGAGGACAGAAAAGGAGATGGGGATGGGAGGAAGGCTCACGGAAGGGTCCATAAGTGGGCACTTCTCCAGCTGTTCAAGCTCCTCAAAGTGGCAGCAGCTGGAAAGGCTACAACATTTTCCTTCGCTGCTGCACTCTCCCCAAACCTTGCTCAAAGGGCACAAGCCACAGGAGCCTGTCTGGCTGCCGCCTTGTTTGTTTATTGACAAGTACGGACTCAAGGGCTGCAGAAAAAGGAGGAAGAAGATGTGAAGGCGAACAGACCCCCCCTGCCAATAACCAGGAACTGATGAAAACTCTGAGTAGGAAGGTAGTTCAAAACACTTATACAAGGAGAAGAATGCCATCTAACTGGATCTTCAAAGCAGAATTACATTGCTACATCCCCTACAGCTATCTAAAGGGAATGAAGAGACTATAGGGCTCATGAAGATAAGAGTGAGTGTCAATACGTTTTATGTTCTTTAGCTGTAGAGATTAATTCCTTGATTAAAGTAAAGATCATGGTTAAGATTCAGGAATCTGAACCTTAGGGAACTATGATTATCGCTGAATGCTCTAGGGCTTGCAGATTTAGGACATCAATGGTTCTTACATGGGGGCCATACTTTACATTATCTTTCTCTGTAGGCATGGTATTCTGGATATAATTATGCTGATTCTACAGCTAAAGCCAGGATTGGGAGTTCAAAGTCTGAAGGACCTGGATTATTGCAGGATGTTGTAAGGACTGCAGTTAAGAAGAAAGCTTGTGTCAGTTGGAGTCAGTGCTTTTTAAGCTACAATAGAAACGAGCAACGGGTTCCAAGTGGAGAACCTGTCAGGGTTCAGTTTACAGTAGACTTGGGGATGTCAGGAACCAAGCTTACCACTGGAAGCTGCCTTCATTGCAGGGTTCTGCAGGGCCTGACAAGGTGGGGGTCAAAATGGTCTCTCTTTTTCTCGAAAGTATGAGCCATTTGTTCCTACTAAGATGAAGGTTAGAATGAGGAGTAGGGTCAGCTATAGGGTTTGGAACTGTAGATCTTGAAGAACACAAATTGCTGCTCGCAATATTTGAACATACCTTATTTTCTGTTCTACTATAGGGCAGGCATGGGTATGACCAATGTGCATGAAGATCCATATTATTTACCACATGCTGCTGCCCAAGAACGTTAGGAGACTGAGGTCCATAGGTGTTCATAACAAGGTAACAGAGTTA